TGACATGGCACCAGAGTTAAGTTAGGGTTTTTCAAAATGCTGACACGCTGAGCTCAAAAGATTTGCCATCACCGCACTACCCCCTCTCTGTCAACATACACACACAGATGTGAAGGACAGAGCAAATCCATACGTCTAAATGTGTAAGTCACAGCAAGGTTTGGGGGGGAGGGGCAACTCCTTGGTAAAATTAGGCCTTATCTGTCACAAAATAACACTAGCTAACAGGCATTGAGAGCTTACTACAGGCCAGGTGCTGTCCTACACTCTTACAGCTTTGCTGCTGCAGCCAGTCTAATAAAAGATAAGAACTATTACTGTCACCGTTTCTCAGACAAGTGTCTAAATGACTTCTCAAGGTCACATAGTATACAACTAGTGGAACTGCACTCAATCATTAAAATAATGTACAATGCAGAGATTCTTAATGTCTTTGGTGCCACGAACTCTTTAAAGGGGTCTAGTGATCCTTTTCTTAGCACATGTTTAAGTGCATTAAAAAATTGCACAGCCCTGACTGGTTTGGCTAAGTGGATAGAGCATCGGCCTGTGGACTGAAGGGTCCCAGGTTCGATTCAGGTCAAGGGCACATGCCTGGGTTGCCTGCTCCATCCCCAGTAGGGGGCGTGCAGGAGGCAGCCCATCAATGATTCTCTTTCATCACGATGTTTCTATCTCTCTCTCACCCTTCCTCTCTGAAATCAATAAAAAAATTTTTTTTTAAATGGCACGGGCTCACAATGATAACTACTATATGTAGCTGAGGTTTTATTAACCACTACAGTTTTGAAGTAATCATGAGTAAAAATATTTTGTGCTATCTGCAACCATTTGATTGCTGACAAAGTCACAGATGCTAACATTCCTGAGGTTGTTGCCTCCATGCCTAACTGAAGCAAATGCTACATTTCAATTAGAGGTTAGTAAAAATGCAGACGTAATTTCCCCTCACTGGAGTACTAGAACCCCTCGAATTCTACAGATTCTGTAGACACAGGGTTAAAAAACCTCTGGTACAATGTCTCTTATGAGGTGACACACCGTTTTCACCAGGGAGCCTGAGAGAAACTGCCTCTATTCCAGAGATTTCGAGGAGTCGTGGGTTTACGCCAAGGTGAGCGAGCCGGTATTAAACTGAAGCGATACAAGGCAGTGTGGGGATCTGGGACGCCAGAGTAGCCTGGGGAAGGAGGCGCGGGAGAGACGAGGCCGGTGTAGAACACTAGCCGCTGGGACACAGATGGGTCGGAACAGTAAAATGGGACGAGATCTTGACCCGCTATTTGGGTGAGGGTGGGTCCGAATGACACTGTGACCCCTCCAACGCCCAAGGGGAGAGGAGGGGCCAGACACCAGGGCGCTAGGCTGCGGCCCTGGCAAACTGCGGGGACCCACGCCTGTGGCCCGGGGATTAAGGGCACCGCCGTCCAAACCACCGAGTCCAAATCATGGTCGCTGGCTAAGCAGCTTAAGACCTCTGAGCCTCCGTTGCCTCACTATCAAAAGGGACAATTACAGGCCGGGGAGAAGGGTGAGGCCTAAATGAATTAATATAAGTCACTTGGAATGTTGCCCGGCATTAAGGGAGAAACGTTAGCTATGACTACTAACCCAACAGAACCCCAGGCCCCCGCAGGAGGCCGAACGCCGCCGTCCGGAAACCTCACCTCGCTCTCGAGGAAGCTAGGATCCGGTTCCTCAGTCCCCCAGGATGGGATGCCGGGTACCCGAACCCTGGGCACTCACCTAAAGACGCCCCTGAAGCCGCTCGCAGCTCAATGTGACCTCAGCAAAGAGACTCCTCCGTCTGACCGGAAGCGGAATTAAAACGGGCCGGAAGCCGGCCGGATAGGTGAGTCTTTCCCCCGGGCTAGAGCGCCCTCGGAAAGGCGGTCCCTGAGGCCAAGTAAGACTACGCCCATTCATGAGAGCCCCAGTCTTCTATTGGGCTGATAGGTGTTCATCAACACTCCAGGCCCAATCATGAACTTGCACCGGCTAGTGACAGGTTCTCATCACTTCCTTGGCTTTACCTGGAGAAAGAAATTCTGTCTGGGTCCTGGTGCTGGCTCGAGAGTGGGCCTGGGGAAAGACCCAAGCGGGAGTACCCTTTTCGTGCAAGTTTTATTTGTTGAATGCCAGGTACTTTTGTAAGGGTTGGGGGTGCATCCTTGAACAAAAGACAACCCATACCCTTTTTATGATTATTTGAGGTCAATTGTTGGGGTATTGAAAAAGAACCAGCCTTTCTCAAGCAGGGTCATTTGTCATGTTAAGAGGAATGCTGGGCCGAAGCCGGTTTGGCTCAGTGGATAGAGCGTCGGCCTGCGGACTGAAAGGTCCCAGGTTCGATTCCGGTCAAGGGCATGCACCTTGTTTGCGGGCACATTCCCAGTGGGACATGGGCAGGAGGCAGCTGATCGATGTTTCTCTCTCATCGATGTTTCTAGCTCTCTATCTCTCTCCCTTCCTCTCTGTAAAAAATCAATAAAAAATATTAAAAAAAAAAAAGAGGAATGCTGGGACTCCACTTCCAAACCCCATTTGGGTGGCTGAGGACTCAGAAATCAGTCCTGCATCACGGAGAGGAGGGGTTAAGAATTAAAACTGGGTTCTGTGAAAGGATCTGGCAGAAATCGGTCCATCTGGGAAATTGGCAATTCTATTCTTCTGGACAGTTGTCCTTGACTCCTATCTTTCTCTCACGCCTTATAGCTGATCTATCTAGAAATCCTGTTGGCTCTGCCTTTAAAAATATACTCAGAATCTTCTGCCATCTGGTTCAAGTCACCAGCACCTCCAGCCTGGACTATTGCAGTAGCCTACTCCCTGGCTTCCCTAATGCCCTCCACAATCAAGTCCACTCAGCCAGAGGGACCCTGCTAACACCTGTCAGATCATTCCTCTTCCTGAACTTAGAACCCTAACCTGGTGTCTTGTCTGACTTGTAGTCTAAAATGAAAGTCCTTACAAATGACCTACACACTTGGGCCCCCCTTTTTACCCTCATCTCTGTAAAAACTGATAAAACCTTATTCAAAATGGAGTTGGAAAATCCTGAAGGGAGAGTTCTCATGCATGCATAATGAAAAAGAAAAATAAGAATTATTTTTTAAAAATATTTTTTATTAATATCAGAGAGGAAGGGAGAGGGACAGAGAGGTAGAAACATCCATGGTGAGAGAGAATCATAGAGAGGCTGCCTCCTGCACGCCCTCCACTGGGGATTGAGACCTAAACCTGGGCATGTGCCCTGACCTGGAATCAAAATGTGACCTGGTTCTAGGTAGACTCTCTCTAGAGCAGTGATGATGAACCTTTGACACGCGTGTCAGAAGTGACATGCAAACTCATTTTTTTGGTTGATTTTTCTTTGTTAAATGGCATTTAAATATATAAAGTAAATATCAAAAATATAAGTCTTTGTTTTACTATGGTTGCAAATATCAAAAACTTTCTATATGTGACACGGCACCAGAGTTAAGTTAGGGTTTTTCAAAATGCTGACACGCCGAGCTCAAAAGGTTCGCCATCACTGGACTAAACATTTGAAATTGCCATCTTGTCAGCCTCTATCTCCCTTCTGTACTTTATTTCTCCATAGCACTTATCCTCTCAGACGTGACATCCTTTTATTGTTTACTTTCTTTTGTTTTCCTCAATGTAATAGAAGATCATAAAGGAGCAATTTTTGTCTTATTCACTATTGAATCTCCAGCACCTGAAATATCACCTGGCACATAGGAGGTACACTATAAATATTTGTTGAAAGAGTGAATTTCTTGTGTGAATAAAGTGCCTAATGGGGACTGGACAAAGGAGCTGTGGGAAAGAACTGCTTTCATCCTCCTCTTGGTCTGGCCTCCAAACCCTTCCATATACTGTGTTGGGTGCAGTGCTCAGGCCTTACTCGGTCAGGGGCTTCTTATATTCTGTGTTCATCAACATTGCAATTATTTGTGGAACTACCTGTTTATATGCCTTTATTCACTCCCTTCAACAAGATCTTCCTAAAGCACAAATCCTTTACATGATTAACCTCTCTATGGTTCCCCTGTGACCTCAGGACAAAATCCAGGCTCCTTAGCATGGCCCCACAGATTCTTTGTGAACTGGCCCAGGGTCCTCTCTCCAACCACAGTGATATTTCAGTTCATTGAACAGTGCTATGAGATCTTCTATCTCCAGGCCTCTGCCCATGCTGCTTCTTCTGCCTGGAACATTCTTTGCCTGACTTCTAAAATCAGCTGTTTTTTCCCTCCTGGAAGCCTTTCCTGACCTCCTCTTCCCCAGGCAAGGTAAGGTTCTTCCTTTTGGATCCCTCCATACCCTGGAGTTTTCCTATCCAAGCCCTGACCACTCTGGGCTGTCCCTGTCTGGTGATGAGTCTGTCTCCCTTAAGGGCAGGGTCCAGAGTTGCCTTAGTCACTGTTGTATCACCAGCATTCTCCACAGGACCACTCAGAAAGCTCTCTTTAGGGGCTCAGTGGTTCCCAGAATGGGCAGGCTCTTCTTGGAGTCTAGGTCTGAGTTCTATGTTCCCCAGCTGGTGGGGAAA